AAGTATTAGAACCTATATGGGTTACAAATCTCTGTAATACCCTTCTATTTCTACTCATTTCTATTCAGAAAACTCTAATTTTCCATTAATCTAACTTATTTTAAGTGAGTGTCTCAGCTACTTAGTGTCACTCCCTACCTACTTTCTTTTAAATGCAAAGTTCTAGTCCAAAATTTTAGCAGCCTAAAGTTCAGGACCGATCCATATTTAGCACACGAGAAATAAATTAAAATAATCAGGCCGTATAACCTTTTGAAAGTGAGAAATAATGCATGAAAGATCTGGGGAGAAAATACCAGACCACATTATTTAACATTAAACAATGAATTAGGAAGAGGGAGAAAAAAAAAAAAAAGAATATATATCAGATGATGTAAAGAAAATGGGTCCAGTATGCTGCTGGTATAACAATGAAGAAAGCAGGCACACAATGTGGCACCATTGAAAAGCCAAGTCAAGATAAACCTGCTTTATGTGTCACTTAGAATTAATAGGCTATATTAATATACAGTCCATATTTTCAAATTACCTCTAAAATAAAATGAATAATGCTCTTGCTGCACAAACCAAACTCCTTTATCTGCACAATAAAACTGGGGTACTGAGTCACTTAAAAAAGAAAGCTCTTTAGCACTGATAAAAATTCAATGAAGAAAAATCTTCTCCTGTGATGAAATATGGAAAATAAATTATGTTAGCTGCTTGTGCTCCTTGCTAGAATGACATTTATAAAAGCATAACTTAATTTTAGGAAGAGATTTGCTACATTTCAAAACCTCATGTAAGTTCATCAAGCATGAAGACTCACAAATGTTAAGTGCTAAATATAAAGCTCAACCCCTTCTTTTGCATCAGTTTTCTTCAGGCATCTGATTTAATATTTCTTCTCAACTTGCACGTGTTTATGCAGAATTTGAATGTATTAATCAGCTTTGACAGGTCAAAATAATATACTGACATACTCATCCTCTGCAAGGCAGAAAGAACAAAAAAAAATCCATTGTTTTTACAATAAAATCCTTTTTACTCTTGTTCTCAGAGAGAATCTAAATTTATCACCCCATATTTTCAAACAAAATATAAGAACCTTTTCACATTTAAGATAAATAAGGTTTTTTTCCCCTTTGTTGACTTTTTTAATGACCTTTTCAACAGTGAAAAGAGGAATGAAATTACCTCTAACCCAAAGAAGTTGACTTCATTTTCTTTTAAAAAGACATCATATTTTCCCTCCAAATCTCTCTTAAAGGAAATAGTAAGAAATTCAAGAATTTCATTCAAGAAAATGAAATCAAAACTAGTATTAAATTTCATACATCAAAGAATTAACAATTTTTTTTCCCTAAACATGCAAAATAAAAGGCAATCTCTGTAATAATCTAATAATTTCTTCCATTGACAAGAATACAGAACTAGATCTATGAGGTTATTTCAGAATTCTTGAGGAAAAGAAATACTAGAGAGACCAGAGAACTGAGAATAATGGTCCAGCAGAAGATACAACAGGTAATAGAAGGTATGGGCCATTTCACATCTTTTGTTTATATTTACAATTATTATTCCACTAGAAGGCTTCATGGGAGGTGCTGGACTTTGATTGCTATTAACTCATTGGACTTTACATGTTTTGTTTCCATCCTGGCCATCAAAGGACTGCTGTTGCAATCTGAGACTGTGTGAATAATTTTCTCTTATTTTGTGATGACTGGATAGCCTAAAAACTAATTTTCAACCATAGCATTTTAAACCCTCAGTTTAATCCCATTGCTACACCAATCAATTTCTAATTACATATTTTCATCCTTTCAAGAAATACAATTTTTAAGAAGTTCATTAGATTTATGTTTTTGTTATTTTGTGACAGAGAACTCAAATACATTGTTTACTCAATCAGTTACACCTCAAATGTATTATAATAAAACCTTTGCTTTCTGATTTTTCTTCACACTGTGAGAAAGAGTTTGAAACTAAATAATGGGACAGAAATTGTGCTTTATTTTTGGTTTTGATGGAAGAAGTGACAGGCCTGATCCATTGCATTTGACAGTTTATATCCCCATAGCCTGAGCTGAAATTCCAGTTAGGATTGAACAGATTTATCTGGATTCCCCAGACTCGTCTTTACCTCAGTGATACTGGTCTGTGACAATAAGTTGAGTTTCTCTTCTGAAACAGAGTGTGAACCTGGCTGATGACTTTCCCTTCCTTGCTAAGATTCTTTCCAACCCAAACCATTCTCTGATTCTATGGTTTTGCTATTTAAGCAGAAACTTTCTTACACAGTGTTGAAGTCTGCAGTCAAATTAGGAAAACACGCTTTATTTCTTTATTGTACACTGCTTTTGGGGCATAAATTTCAGAAATATGGAAAGCCCACCAATTCAACACCATAATCCTCAGATAATTGTTAGCCAATTGTAAGAGTAAATGCCACAAACACTTAAGTTGTATCCTTTTGTCAACTACACTATTTCCATACAAAAATGACCATTGTCAAATACACTATGACTCAAGTTTTAATTCATTTTGAAAGACTTCAATTAACTCCATCCATATAAGTAGGCCATGTGCTTAATTTGGTTGTCTATTGATATCATAGGGTAGTTTTTTTTGCATTCAGCGCCATCAACCATAAAGATACTTCAAGTACACATAATTAGTTCTTAAAAGACAATTAGATCTAACAAAACACCTCACTCGCTCCAAGATTTTAACAAACTGAGCTTGAAAAGGGCACTAGTACAGTAAGAAAAAAACTCAAGAAAAAAAAATTGCAATTATTTTTTTAAATAATTGTTGTGATCTTGGTATTTGGCTTTGCTGTTTTTCTTTCCCTAAACCCATATTATGTTAATATGTATTTTCTCTTTACTTACACAACTTTTAATGACCAAGTTAAGTACTTTTGCATTTATTTTTTATCTCAGTTCAGGGCACCTTAGACTGCTTGAGTAAAACAAAATCCAGGTTTGCATGCTATAGAATACATTTTGGTAAACAGCTGCTCAGAATTGTGCTCTCTTAGTCAAAATATTCTAATCAAATTATATCAATGGACAGAGCCTTTATGTAACAGTTCGTGATACACTAGTTTTTCCTACTCTTTCATTTTACTTTTTTTAATCAATAATCTCTGCTTTTCATCTTCTCTTTAGCAAAAAATTATGCTGCTGTTGTCCATTGGAAATTTTCTTAATTTTTATACTTCTTTTATACTTTTTATACTTTATACTTCCCTGTAGTAAGTACATTCACAACACTTCCCTACAACCTAAATATTCAATAACAATGGTAAGTTGTCCCTATGTTACATTGATTGGTTATTCTCACTAGTTCCCTGTATACAACCAGAATCAATATCCCTTTCTGACAGTTCTTGCAACACATTCATAAATAAAGGGTTATGTCTTCCTCTGACACACATGTGCTTACTTGATTTATAGCAGCTTAAGTGTCTGGGAAAAATCACACACCATTACCAAGGCAAGTACAAGATTATTGCTCAGAGTTTCTGTGGGAGAAAATGTGGGGAAATCCTATCTGTCAGCACTCCCTGTAGCAGAAGAGCTGCAGGATGAATTCAGTGCAGTTGCAGTGATCTGGTAGCCCACATGGGGCATTCAGGCTGATACATAGGATTAAAATAAATAAAAGCAGTGTTTTGAGCCACATAATCAGAGTTGCACACCCAAGCCTCTTCTGCATTGCTGTTGAATGCATTCAATATTAACCCAAGGCAAAGGAGGACAGGCCTGTGTAGATTCTTCACATTCTGCTGTTACCCAAATAGTCTGTCTTGTGTGCTCTTTTCCCACTCCATAAAGCCACACAGAGTGCTTGTGCACACTCTGCATCGTGAGCTAATAAACCAAGAGCAGCTCCAAATGACAAAATCACCTCTCTTTCCAGTTCAGTGAACTGTGCCATGCAATAAGCACAATCATTTGCATGATGATTTTAACCAACACATTAAAATAAATATTTCATACATATATAATATATATATTCCTAAATTAAAGGGAAATGTTTCATGCATATATAATATATGTGTGTGTATATATATATATATCCCTGTAGAGTTGGAAGAGATGGCACCAGAAAGAAAACAAACTAAAACCATGTCTCAATATAATAATGACCTACTGCTTTTCAAGCAGCAGTTTGAAGTATTAATTAGAATATGAAAGCTGGGAAGTATTTACTGCAACATATAAACATATTTATAAACATATTTATAAACATATAAACCCTTCTTAAGCAACTCCTTTACCAGATTCCCTTTGTCAGGTTCTTGAGTTAAACTGTGCCATCCATGAACATGACTTAAAACTTACTTCCACAGAAGAGTTGAACAAGAAAAATTACTGTGTTACTTGTACAGTTTGTGCCAATTCTGGATTTCAGGCAGCATCTTGAAACTTAGGGGAAAAAAAATTAGAAATTAAATGGATTTTTTTTAATATTTGTGTCTCTCTGTTTTCTGTGCTCATCCACCAACCCAGTCAACTCACATACTCATTTCTGAAGCTAAAACTTTTATAAAAAAGCAGCAGTGAGTCATACAGAATACACTTTGCTTGTTAGTATGATGATATCATTATTACTGTCTCAGTGACACTCCTGTAACACCATTGCTATTGAATGTCTAGGGATGATCTCACTGGTCATCAATTTATTTAAAGTTTTAAAATACTTAAAATATTGCTGTTCACAGGAATAGGGTTTAGTTCAAGTGTAGTTAACTGTAAAATCCCAAAATAACTTCCTCGGGAAACAATTTCAACAATATTTTAAATTTTAACTAAGAACTTTATCTCAAGTAATGGTACAGGATGTTCCAGTTTCAGAAACTTGTGTTTTTGTGTCTGCATCATGGTTTTTTATTTTCATAAATTTTGGAGACTGAGAACACCAGAAAGCATTTTATTATGATTGTAAATGGAGATGATTCATAGAATAATATTTAAAGAAAATGACCGCAAAATGACGTGGTGGTCAAGAATATATTTTTTCATTGTATTTTTGCAATGCACTATGTTAAGTCCTCACTAGTTAAAAGGAATATAAATGTCTGTATATAAATAAAAATGAGTAGATGTTTTCAAATATGAAGAAATATTAAGAAAAGGAGCTGCAGACCAACAGGTTTAATCTTAATTTATGGTGGAATATCATGCAAAAGGTATAAAATGCAGCCCTTTTATAAAGACTATCTGAATTTAGTAGATTAGACTACATGAAGAGCACTTTTTAAAAAAGTTCTTAGCTAATGGTTCTACACTAACAAAATGCAACAGACACCCTTGATCGAATCAAGAATGAATTGAAGCACAGCTGGATGTCAAAAACTCTTCTCTGTCTGTTTGACATAATAAATAGTACAAATAAAAAATGTTTGACTGCTAATAAGGTAATCTAAACCTCAAATATTGTGTTTAAAAAAAATTTGGAAGTTCTGGTAAAAACACTCTTACAGAAACTGTTTATAGATCAAAGTTAAAAGGGTTCTGTACCATGGGAATTTTGCTGATCTCTGCTGATACAAATATTATTTGAAACTATAGTAAATGTCTATTAAAGTAGTAAAAGCTAGGGGGGAGGACACACTTTCATTCTTTTGATACCACATTAATGAAGGGTTTGGTGCTGCACAAGACACAAAGGATTAGCACTGAAGCATTCAGCAATTTTGGGCCCAAAACCAGGTCTCCAATTTGGAAAACACATCTCAAGATGCAGCTCAGCTTAAAATTCTCTATTGCATACATCAACACCCCTGTATGTAAGCTGCACATGACACAGGTAATTTACAAAATATAAACTGCTTTTTTCTTTCTTTTCTTTCTTCTGAATCGTGTTGAAGCCGGTGAGCACAGATGCTGATGCTGAAACTTTGGCAATCTCCTGACATTAAGTCAAACTGCAAATAAGAACAAAGAAATGTAAATGGGCATGCTATTTTCACTCCATTTATTATAGCATTTTAGAAGTGTTACAGGGGGTTGGTTGTTGTGTTGGTTTGTTGTTTTTTGGGTTTTTTTCCCCTGCTTTGAAGTTGCAGGTTTTGTTCTGAAGGTGGTTCCCACACAGGGATTGTCCTCGCCGCTCCCCTTCCCTCCAGAGCGACCCACCCCTGCTGTGTCAGCAGCACACGAGCTGAGCACTTCTAAAGCTTCCTGCAATTAAGTTCACCTTGTTGCATTACAGGCAAACATGTTCAGACTTATTTTGGGTACATTTGGGAAATAATAGCTTTTCAGAGCCTACAACGAGAAGCAACTTGGGCTACTGAAATAAACTGCGGTGAGGACTGTGTCTTGTAGTGATTTTACATGTGGCAAATTCCCTTGGTGTCTCGGTACTTTAATCAGAAAATAAGAAACATTAATTTCTGTTGTTTTGCATCAGAACTGACTTAAGTTTACAATAATGTTTGTGTCTATAGTGTATTGTTTGTGTGTGCACCGAGGATGGGATTCAGTTGACAAAAGCCGAGTATGTGATTCCATTTCAGACAAAATTTGGGCACCCTGCCTGCACTCCAGTGCCTTTCCACAAGGCTTCTGGTCCCCCCTCAGTTCGTTTGTCATGTCTCCAATCCCCACAAAAAACATTTCTGATATCCTAGGATTGTAAATGCAGGCGAACCCAATGGGAAGAAATGCTGATGTCTGACTCAATTCAGAAGGCTGAATTATTTATTTATTATAACTATGCTAAACTACATCAATATACTATATAAAAGGAGGATACTAAAACTACATACTACTTTCTCTGACTCTAACACAACTCGTGGCCCTCTCTGAGAGTCTAGCCCCAGGTGGGTTGGATTGGCCACCAGGCTCAAACAATCCTCACCAGAATCCAACCAAGCACTCACCCCAGGTAAACAATTCTCCAAACACATTCCACATAGGAAAAACAAGGAGCAGAAATATAAATTGTTTTCTCTTTCATTTCTCTCTGTTCATCTCTATGAAAAATCCTGAGAGGGAGAGAAATGGGCTTGCCACATCCTAGGGCAACTTAAAGTTGCATAAGGCACATAGGCTTTGGTAGTAGATTCCAACCCACTCAGAATTATGTAAACTATGACAGAATAATTTTCTGGCACATTTGTATGCGTGTGAAAAAATACTAGCCCAAGCTCCTTCAAGGACAGAGTGTCTCGTTTCATGCCATGACACAACAACTAATAGAGCAAGGGAAAACTCTGGATGTGCAATTATCTGGTTATTTTTCAACCCTAACAAGCTGTTAACACAGTTCATTGCTGGGTAATAAGAGGCTGACTTCCTTTTGCCAGCTGGGACACAGAGCTCAGCAGTCAGACGTTTCATGGGAAGAATTTCTGCCTCAACAAAGAAACAGCAAAAGACCCACAACAAAACACAGACCCAGTGATCCTGTGGCTTGTGCCAGGCTGACATGCTGATGGGGCCAGTGCTGGGGTGCCACAGAAGTCACCTGCCAGCCTGCAAAGTGGCACTTTGTTGGAGTAATGCATCCAGCTCTGGGCTCCTGAGGACAGGAAGGTGATGGACCTGTGGAAGCAGCTCCAGAGGAGGGACACAGAAATGGTCAGAGGGATGGGACACCTCACCTCTGAAGACAGGCTGAGTCTGTTCAGCCTGGGGAGGTTCTGGGGAGACCTTAGAGTGTCCACCAGTATCTGAAGGGAGCTACAAGAGAACCACAGAGGGACTTTTTACAGGGGCATGTAGTGATAGAACATAGAGCAATGTCAGTGGGTAAGTTATGTCAAATACAGGGAAGAAATTTTTCACTACTAGGATGGTGAGACACTGGCACAGGTTGCTCAGACAAATTTTACCCTGCAAGTGTTCAAGGCCACGCTGGATAGGGATTTGAGCATCCTAGTCTGGTGAAAGGTGTCCTTGCCCATGGCAGGGGGTTGGACTAATTGACCTTTAGAAGGTCCTTTCCAACCCAAAACGTTCTGTGATTCTATGTCTTGCCCTGTCCCCGGCAAGGTCAAGTGAAGATGCACCATCATGGCACATGCAGCTCTGGGACAGTCCTGCCATCCCCAAAACACATATTTTATCCTGTTCAGATGGAAATGCCACACCAAAGCCTCTCAGCTAAGCTGCACTAATAGCAAACACAGCAGAAAGACAGTCCTGGATCTCTGCAGCTCCTCCTCTCTCCTCCAGCCATGATGAGAAACATCAAAACAGGGCTGAAATCTGCTTTTGGCCTCCTTCAGGGGTTTTGGCCTCCCTCAGGGGTTTTGATCTTTCTCTGCCTCAAAAAGGGAAAAGGAAACCAGCCACTACTGACATGAATCCTTTGTATCCATTTTCTCTTTCTACAATGGTATGGAAATCGGGCTTTCCTAAAATAGTGCTATTTCACCCTCATTGCCCTGCCTTTTGCTTTGGCAGTGCAAATTAGAGCTAGTGTGGTTTTCCCCATCCTCAGACAACACGTTAGGAGAGCAGATTCCTGCTTTTCTAAAAGGACTATCCATCTGCAAGTTTAGGAGCCCAAACACATCTCCTTCTGGAAACCATTATTACATCTGCTCTTCTGAATGATCATTAGGACTGGCTGAAACTATTCCTGTAAATGGGCCTCCAACTACAAAGTTTCTCAGGGAACAGGTGAATTTCTTAGAGCAAGGGAGGTGGTGCTGGGGGAAGCAATTCATGGCTTCTTTCTAGATTTTTTTTTAACTATTAGAAGAAAGCTTTCATATTTCTATGGCACTTTCTTTTAAAAGCTATGTGAAAGGAACATCTTTATTAAAGCTGGCCTTGAAACAGCCACTAATGGGAATGCTCAATTTTAGGATCCTCCTTTGAGGGACAGATTTACACTCCGAGGCAAACCACACAGGCATTTAAAATATTTTCAAAACCAGGGCACGGAAAGCTGAAGAATCTTAGCATCTGTGAAAATGTGACTCTAATTTGTAATGCTGTGAACACTTAAAAACAAGGTCTTTATTAAGGAAATAAAAATTAATTCTGACTTATTGATGTTAAACTGGTATTAAAAGAATCTGTAAGTCACACAACAGGACTGAGGAAGAGAAAGGAGAGAGATACAAAGAAAGTACATAAGAACAGAGGAGATTAATAGGTTTAAAGGAAAAATATGTACTATGAGGTGCTATTCCTGACTTCCTTTGTAGGTCTTGTTCAGATACATGGTAGAAAAGGAATGTGCTAAACCTTTCTGAGCCATTCAGTTTTAATAGTAAAAGTAATTTTCTCAGGTGGGCACTGAACAGTTGCAATTACAGTTTATTTTGCCAGAGAAATTCTTTTAAGGCACTAATGGTGTGAGACAGAGGATAAGGAATGTCAGCACAGCATGTCTCCTAAGCTTGATACCAACAGATTTGCAGAAGACCCAGAGACAACAAATGATATTTTTCTGTTGAAATCTCAAGGTGGTTTATTTCAAATGCACTTTACCTGTGGGTAATGAAAAATAATGAAAATATTCTAACTGTGGTCACACAGCTATTGCTATTCTTATTCTCCAGATCCATTTAAGCTCTAGCACAACTGGTTTTGTCTTTCAAAACCGTAAGACATTTCTTTAATGAATGATTAAGACTTTCACTATCTACTTTTCATTCCCATTCACTCCATGATTGCTTAAAAACTTAACCCCCTTCACATCCTACCTAGCAATTATGCTATTTCTTGTAAAAGACCACGCTAAAGGTCTCTCTCTTTTCTGAAACAAAGGCTGCATAACCACCATATCACATGTGGCAGGTTAGTTCTACAGACAGGAGCTTGTGGCAGAAAAATCACCATTAGAAGAAACTTGTCTTCTTTTAGCCCACTGGTGTCACCTTAACATAGAATCAGTTAGGTTGGAAAAGACCTGCGAGATCATAATTTGAAAATTCTGTTGGGGTTGGGATTTCTTTTTCTGGGTTAAGAAGGTTTTGGTGGTTTTATGGGTTTTGTTTATGTCTTTTATTTTTTTTTTTTAATTAATTGTCAGCTTCTTTCAACAAGTAAAATCAGTGTTTCAAATCCCCATGTCTTGTTATCCAAGACACTGCTGGCAGCTGTTTTCTCACTGCTGGAGTAATTATTCATAAATGTCTATATTTAATTTAGAAGTGAACTTCATTTTATAAAATACTTTCTGCACACCCATTAAAAGTATACCAGAGACCAGCATCACAATATAATGAGTGAACTACATGGAAGATATGGTAAAATCCTATTTTTAATTTTTTTTTTTATTGACTAGACTTGAACAAGGACAGAGGTTGAACTCTGCTATACAGGCAGTTCACAGGAGGTTCACCTTATCTCTGCAGTGTTATTTTGCTTTAGCTTGGTTGAACTTTCCCAACATCTTTATGATAAACAAAACAATTTTTTCCATTACTAAAGGCCACTCACCTGACAGCTCAGGGTCTCAGGACTGGTATTGGTTGTCTTCATTTGAACTGATTTTAGCCTTAAAAAAAAAAAAAAAGAAAATATTAGTATTTGTGATAGCAGTTGCCTGGTGGTCAGCTAACTACCAACTACATTTTTTCAGATTTCCTTTGGTTTACAGTGATAACGAGCAGCTGTTCATGTTTCTAGAATAAAATGAAGTGCAAAAGGTTGTGCCTGTGCAGAACAGTACCAGAGGTGCAGGGGTTCTGACAGAAACTATAGCTGTAATTCAGAGGTTGCTATGGGATTTCAGCCTTCCTTTGTCCAGACAAACCCAGCTTGAGAACAAAAAGTGAATGGTTAGGAACTAAGGACAAAAGTGAGCACCTAAGCTGTGTTCAGAAAAACTTCCAACAATAAAGTCTGTGGAGGACAGGGCTATCATCTGTCTTCTCCCAGGAAATGGAAGAAACTCCCTAAGACAAGACCATGTGCCTCCCAGTTATAACTTCAGGGTGCTGACAGCTCATTCTGAGTCCATCTCTTTCTTTCAGGAACGCTGAAGCTACCAGTCTTTGAACACAGAATACTTCTAGAAAGGATTTTTTATTTCCCCTGAGAAGCAATATAAACGCATTATGATTTTTTCCTATATTAATTAGAATTAATACAAACTATTGTAAGTAATAAATCAAACTATTGTACTGCTAAATCATAAACTGGAATAACAATAATTTCCCAGCTTCACCTGTGACTGTGTTCCCCTTATTCCCACGCAAGATTTTTGTATAATAAGCACAAATCATGATGACTCTCTCTATATGTAGGTATAGACACACAAAAAAACCCCCAAAAAAACCCCACCAAACAGAGCTCACAATGTATTTAAAAGATGCACATCATTCTAATTGACACAGGATATTAGAAATTTAAAAGAGATGTTTAAACACTGTAGTTCCTCAATCACAGGAGTATTTATCCTGTCAAAACTTTACAGAAATAGTTTTGTTCATTTCAGCTGTAACTTGGGAGGTTATTTCATCTGTAAACAAAAGCAAAAAGAAGATATAAAAAAATAGCAACATCATAAACTTGCGGCAATCTGTCCTAAAAGGATCAAATGAGTTTTCATCACCAAATCTTTTCAACCAGAAAGTGATTTGTGTTTTGTACAAAGTATTTAACTGAATACAGTGAAACTGGGATGAATTTTCAAAGATACGCAGTACTCATTTTATAGAAGTGCACTTTAAGAGGTAATTTTGTGTAAATACATCTATTCCACCTATGCTTCAAAAAAAAGTCAAACTTTGTGAGGACTTTTTCTCTCCTTTTTTGTTGCACTTACTGGGCGTAACAGACAAGCTTTTGGGGTGTACAAGTCTTTCTTTAGACCTAAACTAAAACCAATAAACTCAAAGCTGAGATTTATTATGATAATTATTTAACCAATTCAAAAGAAAATGGGGACTAGCACCAGCAAAGCAGAGGGAAACATCAGCAAGCAAAGTTCAGTAGGTCTGATGGGACAGAGAAGTCAGGCACAGGTTCCAGCTGGAGAGAAAGGCCAGATTTTGGGATCATACCTCGATGGTTTTTAATGCCAAGTGCAGCTGTGAATGTTAGCTGTGAGTATACTGTTTTTGGTAGCTGCTCCTTAAGAATCAGGGCTGAAAGAGCACAAATGCAGTCTTCTGAGATACTGTTCTTCTGCCTAGTGTACACATTTTACCTTCATAAATTAATTGTAGAAGTCATTTGTAGCCACCATGCTGGTGGCTATCTGATTTTGTCCATGGAGTATCTACAGGGAGAAAATCTGATTGTTGCAGTGATGCCTTGTGAAGGCTGCCCTAGAACAAAGGTTAGATGGAGTTAAAGGATAAAATAGGGATTTATTAGGAGGCCTCAATGGATCCACCTTGGGCAGCACAAGAGCCAGCCAGGGTTATACCCCAGGTGAACCCAAAATAGTCACAAAAATGGACAACCAGTCATTGAGTCTCTCACTTTTATAAGTTTGGGTCCATTTGCATGTTGTAGTTAATTGTCTAATTATAGCTCTAGCTTATGAAGTCCCATCATTCGTGTTTTACTCTTTGATCCACGTTGTTCGTGCTCTTGGGCCTGAAATTTGGATCATTTGTCTTTTGTTCCCAGCTAGAGAAGGAATTGTTTTGTCTCCCTGCTCTGTGTAGAGATCTCACCATCCCCTCATATGGACCTCAGCATTACAGGATCTGAAAAACATAAAAGCTAAAACCTGAGGCATTAACAGTATGGGAAAATTAATTTCTGATAGCTTTTCTCAGAGAGACACATAATGCTTGGAAAATATGGCCAAAGTTTTGTGTATTCTCAGGTTTCTCAGGCTGATATCACCTGGTAAACTTTCACCTCTGACACATCTCTCTACACAAGGTTAGTAAGCTACTTCCGTGCCAGAAGAAAGGCTGCAACCATTGCAAGGATGATTGGTATACTTCAGATAACTGCCAGGTCTTTTTGAGGTAAACATACTGGTCTTACTTAAAGTAGATGTTGTTCTTTCTGCCTTATGAGATTCATCAACATCACCCTCGTGAAGACTTTGCAGAGATAGTTGAAGGTGGTATAGTTGCTAACTTGATATTCTTGATTTTTCTCTAATTAAAATCACAAATCTATTTTAGGATATGATGATTTCATGAATGATTTTAAAAGGAAATAGATCAAAAAAACCAAGACCCCACTCTGCCTTACTCTGGATTAAATCTATTCAAAATGAAAAGCATTTTGAATAAGGATACAGACCATTTGTAAATTTTTTTAAATATCCTATTTGGTCAGTGATTTTATTTTTTAATTCAGAAGACTCAAAACTTACATTTTTGCATCCCCATCAAAAGCTTTATCAGAAATTCTCTTAACAACTCTATTAGTAACACATATGCAATCATCATCACGCTGCATTTAATTGGGACAGATACAAGAGGCATATCTGTTTCCATGAGAGTTTCAAGCTAAATTACATTTTTGATTGACTTGCTTGAGTGGCAAATCTCCATTAGTCAGTTATATACTACATGCTGTGCTATCACTCTCAGGAAAGCAAAAACTCCATTAAGCATTACTAAAGCTCTCTATCAAACAGGTTTTCTCATATGCATTCATTGCATAATTTTTATTTAAATATTCCCCCATAAAGAACCCAAACCAACCAAACAAAAAACACACCACAACTCAATAGTCTCTACTATTTAAAGTATTATAGCAAATGTCACTCTTTTTAATAAATAGTTTGCTCAAGTACTTTTCAAGTGTTACACAAATAAATAGCCTTCTTTTAATACTTGCAACTAATATATGCTACTTTATAAGTAATAATTCTGCTAAAATTAGAAGAAAGAAGATTGAATTGCAAATCCTTTTCCAAAAGAGCCAAATATGTATATATAGAAAAACATTAAAAAGATGAACTTTATATTAAAGTAAGCAGTATCAGTACATTTACCATATAAATACACTCCTAAGTCCATTCTTTGGTGAATGGTTACTGAAAAGACTGAAAAAGATCCATATCAAGTTAATGAATTCCACTCTGCTGACTTACAGAAAAGAATATAAAATAGAAAAATCTACATATATTATTCCCAACTGCTTATTAGATAGACTTATCTATAATATATATGTTAGGCACAAATTACATTAAAATAACACTTTACAGAATTGCAAAGGAAAAGTTTCACAAATTAGACAATGGGAGAGGGGAATGAAAAAAAAAATCAAGGTTGGCTGAGTAGCCTCAGCTCACCCCTTTTGCTTAGGCAGTATTTTCTGATCTTTAGATAGCAAACATTTATTATGACATAGCAAACATTGGAAGCCAATGCAGAGGAACGATGGGAGGAAGTTAGGAGACATGGAGCAAGGATAGATCACTGAAATTCCTCCTTAAGGTGCTGCAAGCCTGATGCCACAGCACAGAAAATACTGCTGCTTCATTAAACCCCAGGCCTAGAAATCCATCAGAGCAATTTCTGGTTTGTAATTCCCAAAGTACAGCATAATTAGCTTCAGTCTAATCTGCTTAATGTCATAGGTGATTCACTGCCAATGTCAAGGTTAAATAAACCCCAAAACTCCCAGAAAAAGGGGTAGTAAATCAGAGTCTAGAAGGTGGGGGGCTTACAAACACAAAGCAGAGGCTTCAAAGCACTGATAATTTTTTTTTGAGGGCTGCGGTCACCAATTTGCTAAGAGAGAAAACTAACGGGTCTGGGCAAAAGGACTTTAAATTGGCAAGAAAGAATAAAGTCCTCAATAAGAGGACAGGAAGAAAAGGAAAAAAAAAAAACCAAACAAAAAACCACCAAGCAGTCAGTACACAAGAAAATCTGTAAGAAAGATGCATCAATCAAAGAAAGAACAGAGGGCACCAAACTGGGATTCAGCAGGTAGGTAATTTAAGAGTGCTTCTAGAAAGTGGCAAGAAAAATAAAAGCAAAACTCAGCAAAATGAAATAATGAGAAATAATGAGAAGCAGATGAGGCCAGATGATATTCCCATTCCTGTGAATTAAAGTGTTTTGTTTGGGACAATAACAGGAAAACTCAGAAAACCTTACTGTGGATTAAAACTAAAATAGTTGAAAAGTTAGCAGAGGAAAGCCCATGAGACAGAGGAGTGACTACAGGAGCCATCCCCTACTGCAAGATAACCATCAAAGTAGGAAGGAAATAATGTCTTTAAATCTCTGGGTGAAAATAAAAGCAGAGAGACAAAGAAAACTTTCTCTAAAGATTATCAGCAAAACACACATGAGGTGAAGTCCAGAAAGTGACAGCACATACCAAAATTAGTTGAAGAATCATTAAAAGCAATATTAATTGTAATACAGAAATTATTTTAGTAATAAGATTATGCAGAGTAGAATCAATTATTCTCACATTCATTCAGCAGACATGGTTCCTATGCACAGTGCAGGGAACATCAGGATCGTGGAAAAGGAAAACTCAAGGAGAAATGCTTTTAAATGCCCTGCCCCCAGAATATCTGTAGGTGGAATTGTAGCTACAATGGCCCAGAAATACCTC